CATACTACACCTAACTCAAATTTCCCATTGTTAGCACAAAAATTTTTTCAGGCTTTCTCTTTCTCCTTCACCTCCCCAACATACACCTGACCGTCAATTTCCCTGTGTGGCACAAAGACATTTGTCAAACATAGAGAAAGACGAGGTCTATGCTCACTGTCACAAGTCCTGAGTTTTGACTGACATGCTGAAGTTGGTGATGAAGGCGGTCTTGGGCAGCTCCATTTCAAAGAAGATTTCCTGGGAGGTGTTTGCTTTGTTCAGAGCCTTGGAGGTCACGACGGTGTGAGCGAAACGAGACGTCACAGTGCAGCCCACTGTCACACTGTACACCTCAACCGTCTGAAAGGATGGACCGAGAGAGAGAGAAATTTGGCATGCAAGACATCGTGTGACATTAGAGCAAACAAAAAAGACCGGTGGCCAAGAGGACTGGCAACTCTCTACTGAATTCTGGGTCAGATGTCACGAGGAATGTCCCAAAATGATTCATGTGAGAAACAGACAGAGGTCACTGTTCTGTGAACACAACGTAAGACAGAACTTTTAGGGGTTGTCATACTGACAAACACAGAAAGGAATAAAACACAGATGGACAAATCACTTCCAGTTTCTCCTTCCTGTTTATTGTCTCCAGTAAAGTGAAGAGAAAATAAATGCATGCCTGTGGACGCCAGGGAGGGAAAATGGAACAAGTGGCATCTGGAAGCAATGAGGTTTAAAGAAAATGTGGACACAAAAACAATAGCACTACTGTGAGATAGAAGCTACCAGTCCTCTTGACTATGGTCTCATGTGTATTGAACAATCATATCCAGGTTTCACAATTAACTTACCAAGGATACATTAACATGAACATATAAATACCTTGTTGTTAGGAAAGGTCATACCTCTATGATGATTTTAGAATGTTGTATCAATATCAAAATATTTTCCTTACATTCGCAGAGTTTGTGCTTCTTTTCTAGTAAGGAAAGAGACAAAAATATGCTTTTATTTTCACAGTGAAAACTGTTCTCACAAATACTTTATGCTTTTGTTAGTAAGTATTTTAAGCTTAGTACCTTTATTGACTTGCTACCCATGGCCTCTATGCTCTCCTGGAACAAAACATAGCAGAACTGCATGGTTATTGAGAAAGAAAAAAATTAATTTGGAAAGAAATGTGCACTACAAAACTCTCTGCCATCACTAAACTGCCCTGAATGTTTAGCATTAGTTACAGCCAGGCACAAAAAACAAATGTTCATGCTTTTCTATACCAACAAGGGATTAGTAGTCCTTATCTAAAGTATCCATGCTTTGGAAACTGTTCATCTTTTTCATTAAAGCTGCCACCTCCATGTTTCAAAAAACATCTTTTAGATTAAGTTTTTTTGGAATATTAAGTAAGCATTGCAGTGACATGTCTGGAAAGCAAGGTGTGACCCCAGAACCAGACAAAGTGCATTGCAAAACTCAATGCAGGTGTCTGACAAGCTGGCATACTGGAATGGTGAACTGGGCTTAATATCCACTCAAAGGGAGCAACTAGTGGAGGCTAAGTTATGACAAGTTCTGAGAGGAGAGGCCATGTTTAGTTAAACAAACTGATGCGTGGGTGGGAGAACACGAGAGGAAAGGAAGAAAGGAAGGCAGAGGCAAACTGATGGCTGTGCAACTCCTTTAACAGAGTTCTTTTTGTGTAATTGTTGAGCAAAATGGTTAATGTTCTGACTGACTACTGTTTGCGTACACTGTGTGTTTGTGGGGAAATCGTCAACCCGAAACAGCGACACAAGATCTCATTGTGAGACACATCCACCAACAGCCAATTTTAAGCTTTGTTGACCAAAGACAGCTGCAATACAATAAGATGGCACGAATGGATGAGCGTAGATGATGATGTTTCTGTTTTCTTCCATATTTTTATATATTATCAAACATCAGACAATAATTCTTAAAAAATGATGGCAAAGAATCTGACACAGACTACAACCAAGACCACTATTTCTAGACAATGTTTTAAACATTAAAACAGAATATTTCCTCTCAGCTGTAATGCCTTGGTGTTCCTGGAGAATACAGTGTCTCCACCTCCTTGATTCTGGGGTGCTTTTCTGTTTTTCTGCACAGTCTTGGTATCTCTGCCCTCTAAACAGATCTTCTTTTATTCCCTTTGCAGGAAAAACACTGTTGCTGCTGCCAGACATGACACGCAAAGCACATCATTCATTTTCATGGTTGAGTCTATGTGTTGTTTCTCATTACAACCATCAGATGGACTATTTCGTAGTGTAGAGGTGAGATTACATAGCATCACAATAAATAGCCAAGTAGCCTACCTACATACTGGTTTTAATTTCCTGTGTGATACATTTTTCATATCATTTTTCATCAATGCATAGCAGAAACAACTGCTGTAACTTTTAGGCAGCAATGTTAGTGTTGCTGCCTGATGAAGGAGCAGGCTGTGTCAAGTGTATTTGGAAGCCCTATTAACTGCAGCCCCTTCTTACAAACGCTTAAAACTTCATAACACAACAAATAATAACCCACAACCACAGGGCAACAGGGCAAAACACCATGGCACACAACCATTTGTGACAGTGAGTTTCTTACTTATGTAATAGAAAATTGCAAAAATCTGAATACTTACATACTTATATATATAATATTATATATAATACAGTGTTTCTATATCTAGTTTTGAATATTTTGTTTTGAAAAGGAAGCTATGTTAAAGTTGTTGACATGTCTTCTGTTTTTACTATGTTGCAGTTTGCACAAAATTAATTGTTTACATTGTGCAACTGTTTCATGCAATCTTTGTATATTGTATCATCAGTAATCGAGCTTTCAGTATGTACATAGTAACATTCAAATGTACTCCTGAAAGTAGAATAAGCCACTATAAACATATATATATAAAGGTCAAGTTATGCAGAAAGAAAAAAAAAAAACGTAAAAAAAAAAAACATGATGTGATCATCACTTGATTGTCATACCGCTCAGCACTAATTTGTCACTTATCTGAACATCTACATTAGTGGGTCTCTGCTGACTGTTTCTGCTTATCGGATATCTAGGCCAAGGAGCAGGAATGTAAAAGCATTTCAAGTGCACTGATTTCTGTTATTATGAAGCCATATATCTTACTATTTCTTATGTTTCTGTAAAGTCTAAGAGGAGGTAAAGTGTTCACTGTACATATGTAAAGTAATTCAGCAACAATATTTAATAGGTTATTTGATCATTTGATGTTTCATTGTATATCTCCGCCATCGTTAACATAACATTCATACAAATATGGCAGAGTTTGCACAGAATGAAAACAACCATCATCCTTGCGATGTGAAAATCTGCCATCGCTGGCACAAGTCAAGGGCTACTGTGCTGATTCAAGTGCGCATGTGCACAAGTTTTGCAGAAAATTTGGGCTCACTATCTAGACACGACCGTTTTTAAAGGAAAACTCAACTCTTACAACTTATGCAAACTTTTACCAACAGTGCACAGACTCATCACTAATGAGGTGTCAGCTCAGCATGGAACACAGCAAAACAGTGTTTGTTTACAAGCAGATGCAGCACATGCAGCTTACTGTAAATATCTGTGTTGGAACATCTCTGCGGGAAACGACCAGAGCCCCCTGGGCCTGAGCTGGGGGCCAGAGGCAGACGCAGAACCACAGCAGCATGACTCTCCACACTGTTGACATGCCTGGCAAACAGAAGCGCCTCTTCTCCTGCATGGCTGAAAACAAGTGTGGAGGGAATTCTAGGCATGTGGGGATCAACTCTTCCCATAAGAGTTATACTCCGCCCACACTATGTCCTCTCCACTATGCAGGAGGAGGGGCACTGTGTGATGTTTGTGTGAGTCAGTGTGCGTGGTTTCCAGTAAATTGGTACTCGGGGGGGCTGGGGCCTGCAAGAATGTATAGAAGGTTTCAACAACTCAAGTAATTTTTACCTAGTCCCGATTTGCCTATCTAGGGTTTCGTTTCAGGGTGTGTGTGTGTGTGTGTGTTTACTGCATGCAAGTGCAGGTTATGTAAATAATGGTATTTTCCCTTTCATGAATGTATGAGGTTCATTATATCACCACAAAATGTAAACCACTAATTAAACTAACAATCATGTTAAGCGTTGATATTTCCTGTAGTAAAACAATAATCATAGTCTGTTTGACCATGAAGAAAAGTTGTCACCACTCTACAACGTTTATTTGGTATCAT